GGCATTATAGTTGCTCCAAACGTCATAAGTACGATCTGATGAAGAAACTGTGGATTAATCTAACCGATATGATGATTGTCTGAAACCAAAGTTCCTGAGGTCTTCGGCTGCAGTAATCATGAAATTGAGAATTACGGCCAATTCAAGTAACTTTTGAGTGAAAAATTGGGTACTATTACACCCTGTGTAAAGCATTGGTGCTTTATCTCGATTCAGTTTTTGAGCACGATGAATGACTGTGTAGTTTATCGTTTGCTTTTGTAGGCGCTTACCATGCATTGACGAAGCTTTGAGCTAAAGTTTTTTGGGTAGCTTAACGATCCCGCGAATAAAATATCTCAGGACGTTCAAATTAAGAGGAACAACGCTTACATGTGGGAACTTGATTAAATGAAAGGAAATGGATGGATGATTAGATGTCTGTGTGAATGCTGAATTGATGGGGAAATTTCAAATGGATAAGTCATTTTGCTGGTTCATGTTTACTTGGACAAAAAATTGAATGGACCTATGAGCGTATGCAGATGTATGACCTAGATGCGGTTTTACAGGTACGAGATGGATAGACTGCTAAATTCTAGGGTAAACGTAGGCATCCGGAACGGATAAAAATATGAATCAAAAATGAGTGTATGGATAGAAAGAAAGCTTGCTAGACTGATGAATGGTTGTTTGGTTTGATAATCGCTCGAAGTAGTGAATGGACAAAGAAAGTAAGAATTTAGAAATAGAAATACAGACGTTTGACTAAGTAGATGTTTAAATAGATGAATGAGTGGATTATTGGAAGGCTTGGTGGTTCGAGATGGATTACTGGGCTGTCGGAAAAGCAACCGTGCAGCAATGATGATCGATTGTCAGAAGTCCTGGGAGTGTTCAATCGGTCTTTCTACAGTAGAGTGCAGACGTCTTCTCCTACACCGAGGACGACATGGTGACTGACTGTTGGCGCAGCATCTTGCTCACTTTTGAATTAACATGCAACATCCGTGCTCGATGGATCGCATGGTTATGGAGCTGGAAGTATGAGCCAACTAGCGACTTGGTGGTGTCTGACTTTGCAAAAGGCTGGTTGCACCTTCATATGTCTTTGAAAAGGAATAAGTAGAAGCCATCTTGTGGTGTGCATATTCACAGATCTACTCTTG